GAAGTCCTAAACATTTTTACTGGAATCTGGGTCCCATAGACACCAATAGAACTTACCTCCAAGTAATGTGTTAGAAATTAAATAAATGCCATTCATATCATTCATATTAAATCCAAATATTTTGACCTAACTCGGCTTCAGATCATAGTCCATCCTATATTATTCCCAGCTCTACAATACTATGGTTCTATGGTTTATCTCAACCCTAGTCATGTTGGGCCCAATCCACAGAATGGCAAAAGCCAGTGCATGGCAAGCTGCACACAGGGTTCAGGAAACTTCTGTGACACAAGGTATGAAGCTACAAGAAGAACAGAGGTGGCAAAATCCAGATCTTTTGCACAGATGCATTACGTTCTCACTCCTAGACTAAGGGTAGCCAACATGGTGCTTTCCTGATACTGCTCCTCTGGCACAAAACTGCTTCCTTTGTTATCATACTGCGCAACTGTCCTGTTTCAAGCGAGACATCCCAGATTGACAGAAGCCCCAGCTTCTGCATAGGACCAAAAGATGGGTGTGTTTTCGTCCCATCCTGTGACCCGAGTCAATTTGTTCACACCGGAGCGCCAGGGGGGAAATAGGAAGCCAGAGCCTTCTGCCTCCTTCCCAAAGTCCAGTACCTCCATTACCCAGCTTTGAGAAGGTGGGAGGGGGGTGTCAAATGTTGGCCTTCAACAGGATTCCATACTACCAAGGTCCATCCCTGAAAATATCTCACACTACCTAAGGTGAGGAGCAGCCCTACCCCCAGGGGTATTGTTGATGGGAGAGGCCCAAACCATGAGTATTTTGTGCCATGCCCCATATGTTTTGCCCTTTCCAGTTTTTTTAAACTATGCTTATAGGTAAGCTGGGGAACCTGTGACCCTCCACAAGTTGTTGGACTCCAAGTCCCATCATCCCTGACCATTGGTCATGGTGGCTAGAGCTGATGAGAGTTGGAGTCTAGCAACATCTGGAGCACCTTGAGTTCCTCATCCCTGGCTTATAGGGCAGCTGGGCACCCTGCAAAACCCAATGCTGGTGAGAGCTTACCCACCTGCAATTTTTAAGCTGCCATTTTAACTTGCCAGTGGTAGCTATACATAGTTATTAACATATGTAAATTTATACACATATGTGCCATGGTACTATGCTCTGAGTTATTTAACTGCCCTAGCCTGCCTCCTCCACCCCACCACCATATGAGGTGGTACAACAGAGACCTACGTTTAGTTTCTTATTCCCTCCCTCCCGATTCACTGTCTATAAAAGACAACCCACCAAAAAATGAAGCAACAACAACAATAATAATAATTTTGCACTGTTGATATACCAGGTTTCCTATAATGTCCACCAATTCATGTGTGCATATGAAATGTACAGACAGAAGAGCCATCTGACATGCTCATATTTGCTATGTGGGCGGTGCTATTTTGTTTATTTTAAAAAAAACACTTTTAAGTTTTCAACAATGCATTTTCTCTCATTTATCTTTAATAGATCATTACTCAGTGCTATGTCTTGGACCAAAAGAAACCAGAAGCAAATGCTTTGACTTGATATTTAAAGGCACTGATTCCCTCCCCACCCCCCGCTGGTATAAATAGTATGGACACAGTAAAAGTACTTGAGGAAGCCTAATGAACCATTTCTTACACCCCATTACCTTTAGTCTGATATGACTGAGAATATGGGTGCTAATTATGCTCTCTCTCATAGACACCAGCAAAGATCTACAGTCACTCTTAAAGCACAATATTCTGTACAACTCTTGGCAGTTTCTCATATGATACATTTCTGGCATTTTGTTTCTAATTGAAATATAAATTAGTGGTGTGCCAATTTCCATACAACCTATTCTCCGCTCCTTTCTGGGAGCAGAGGATGCATGTATTTTATAGACAGTTCTTCATGGCAATTTCATATTGTCATTCACCCTCAACATCACTGATGTGTTGAAAGAACTCTAAGAGAGAAGACCCTGAAATATGTGAAGCAGCAGAAAACTAGCAAAGGCAAGTTCTGAACTACTGATGGATATTTCCTTTCAGCCAAGGGTTGGGACCATGCTGCCTTTTGACAGAAACCAGGGGTAGTCTGAAAGCTGCATTCCCTCATAGCTAATCATGTGGAGCCCATATACCAGTAGTAGGTGGGATCAGTGTAAAAGTGGACGGGGTCACCCCAGACACATTCTCTTTCACCTCCCTCCCCCCCATGCATAAGATCCACACAGGAACATCCACACACATTTATGCACATGCACACAGAGGCATACACATGTGTGTTTGATATAATTTAATATATTTTTGGGCAACAAGGCATATCTCAGCATTATGTGTCTTTTCTCCTCAGATTCAGAATGAGACTTCTCAAAACTATTCTCATGCTAAATCTTTCCCCCTCCTTAATTCAGAAAGCCATGCACATGAAAGTCTACCAGTCACCAGCTCACAGGTAAATAAAGGGTAAGTAGCACTATAAAACGTGTGAGCTATATGACACTTTGCGATAATTTACAGTGTCCATTTCCACATGGTGTCAATCGAAGTCACACCAAAATAATGGAGAGTAATATTTAAACCTGTGGCAGGCAGGAGATGGAGTTGGAGTTTTCCGCTGGCTAACGAGGAAACACTTGGAAACATATGACCCGCATATTAGGATGCAGATGGTTCTATAAGGCAGTACATACATTTATAAAGGAGACGTGTAAGGTCACAGGGAACCATCTGTTTAAATATTTAAATGTCCTTACACTAAACGTATGATTAGTTTTGCCCTGGACTTGTAATCTTATCAGTCTACCAATTTTTTATAATAATGCTGAAACAAAAGAAAAATGGAAGTGTGGATGGGAAGCTATGGTAGCCAATTTACAGCATATGGGCCTTGCATAGTCAGTTTACAAGCAACATTAAATGTCCTGGCGCTCTTGACGTCTTTGAAATAGATCTCACTAGGACAAATATATAGTACATGTTGTTCTATGCCAGTGGGTAAATTCACACAGGTGTGTTTTTTTCACATGATGATCACAGGCATCACTTGACAAGCTGGACATCAAATGGCTCCATCACTCACCAGCTTTCATCAACGGTATTTTTTATTTTAATCTCGTCCTTTTGGTGAAAGAAGAGTTGGGTGGTGTGTGTGTTGTGGCAGTTGAGCATCTTCCAATCTAATGGATGGCTGTCAATTGGTTTAAAGTCTCCCTGAGCAGGGCTGACAAGAAGCAACGATTACAGAATTCCTGAGGACCAATAGCCATGTAGCTCAAATAGAAATTGTACCCTCGCTTCCATGTTCGTTGCAAGGAAACACAACCATTTAAATGCAAATACACCATCTGCAATTGACAGACTCTTTGGTGTACTTTTTTGCCATTCAAAATGCAACTTATTAATTGGCCCAGAGTCCTCGGGGGGGGGGGGGGCTTGTCTCTCAGCTTCTCAAGGCCAGAGCAAGACCATGGGCAGCTGTAAGCAGAGTCAGGCTTGGTGGCTTTCCAGCTCAAGGTTCTGACTTGAATTAGGAGCAGCTGGGGCCTAAAGGACAGTAAGCAGGATGTACTGCTCTGCTGATCAGCAGGCAAGTACCAAAAAAAAAAGGCTTTAGTGTGTATGAAAGACCAACAATTGCATATCCTTCAACATTTATCTGATGAAAATAGGGACGTTCCATTCCATAATGATAATTTTACTATTTATACCCCACACATTTTACTGGGTTGCCCCAGCCACTCTGGGCAGCTTCCCACATATATAAAAACATAATAAATCATGAAACGTTTAAAAAACTTCCCTACACAGGATTGTCTTCAGACAGCTCTGAGTTCAGATAGCTCTATACCCTCCAACATTTCTCCAGTGAAAATAGGGACACCCTAAGGAAAAGTAGGACATTTCAGGATCAAATCAGAAACTAGGACAGCTTCTTTAAACCAGGGATGTCCCTGGAAAATAGGGACACTTGGAGGGTCTGCAATTGTGTTGAAACAGAAACTTTGTGAAGTGCCTCTCCCTGAGGAGATAGCCCCTTCTTTCTTGAACTCCACCTCTCCTTCCTATTCTCTCGTTAACTCATGAAGTATCATGCCAGTAGACTTCTAGGGTTGCAGCCAACCAAGTTCTACTCAGAGTAGACCCGTTGAAATTAATGAACCCAAGTTAGTCCTGTAATATATTCATACTGGTTCTGGCAAATCCAGCAGCTTCATACTATCTGCCAACCACAGAAGATGATGTTGCATACGCGTTCCTTTTCTCCTTGCTGAAGTGGACACTAAAGGCTGAGCATGCACAGTTCATGGTAGCTTACGATGCCTATCAAGATCCATGAGCTGACACTCCTGAGGCAAGGTGGTAAGCTACCAGACCTGAAGTACTGAAAATCTCCCTGGACATTGTGGACAATCCTCTTTATGGAGCTCCCTGTCTTAGGAGGTCTGTCTATTACTCAGGCATTTAGACCCAACTGATGTTGTTCTAAGGAGATCTTCGACATCCTGATATGCTGAACAGATTATAGCATGTATTATCTTGCTGCTGTCGGCATCAATGAGAGTTTATTGGATTTTTAAGAATACTGTTTTATTACTGGTTGTGCTTATGTTTTTTGTATTAAAATCGTACCTTGAAAGTCGAAAGGAATCCGTTTCGGCAGTCTGTTCAACTTCCAAAACCAAATTGTGGATTTTGATTGGCTGCAGGAAGCTCCTGCAGCCAATCAGAAGGCACGGAAGCCCTGTTGGACGTTCAGGTTCCAAAAGAACGCTCGCAAACCAAAACAATCACTTCCAGGTTTGCGGCATTCGGGAGCCAAGACGTCCGAGTTCCAGGGCGTTCGGGATCCAAGGTACGACTGTATTACTTGTCATCCACCATATATAATAAAACAATAAACTATTCTCATTTCTGGATTGGCCCTATCCAACCAAGACTGAAAGGGCTTCCTGCTCTGCCTGATCTCCCTTACTCTAACATGTTGTGGTTTGTTCTTCAGCTCTGACTCCAGACTTAGCTCAGTGTGAAAACATCTGCTTTCCATGCAGAAGATCCCAGGTTCAATAATCCCTGGCATCTCCAGGTAGAGCAGGAAAAGTCCCCTGCCTGAAACACTGGGGACCTGCTGCCAGTCACTGAAAGCATTACAAAGTTAGATGGACCAATGGTCTGACTGAGTATAAGGCTTTCCTATATGCCTATGTTTCAAATCTCCATTCCAGATTCCTGGTACAATCCCTGGCTCCCCTCTGACATCCACCTACAGCCCAGATCTGACAGAATCACAGTTCCTGAGGTTCCAAATGCAAGCCCTGGAGTCCTATCCTTAGCAGAGGTTCTCGTGAGGTAAAGTAATGTGATTCTGCGCAATTTGAAGAAAAACCAGTCTAAATAATAATAATAAATGAATGAGTGTAGCATAAGCAACTGAAGGTGACGCTCCTTTCTTCATCATATTCATAGCCTGTGAGACTAAGAAAGGACAGGAAATGTATGGCTGGTTATTGTTCTTTTTAAACCTAGTAAAAGATAAAGAGAAGATTCTGTAAAAAAAAACCAACCACACACAACCCTAAAAACTAAAAACAAACAAACCCAAAACCACCTTGGTATCTAAGATCTAAACAGACAGCAGAGATCAATGAGTTAAATTAATTTTCTGTGTGTTCGAATGAATTTTAAATCTATACAGTTACAGGCCAATTAAAAGCCCTCTGAAAACAATGCATTTGTGAAAAATATGACATTCTTCTGCAGCATTAAATGGTCTCTGTGACACGGACAACCTCTCATCCTTTGGCTCCACAGGTCCTTCCAACAGTGATTTCAACCTGTCAAAACCACAATGCAGCTGCTCCATCTCTGGAAACCAAACAGCTCAGCCCTCCCCTCCTTTCCCCTTTCTATAGCAACAAGCTCTGAGCCCTTCACAATCTGACCTGCTGAGGAAAACCTGTTTTTAATTAAATGTTAATTGCTTTAATGCAGCTTGCATTATGTGGAAAGCTCAAATTATTTTAATCTGGATTAAAAAGAAAACATCTGAGGCCTCAGGCCATAACTGGAATCAGTTTATAACGGATGGATACCAAGGGGTTCCTTTAAGCACATCCAAGGATGGAGCGTTCTCAGTGGGATTTTAGACCACCACCACCCCAACTTGGATTTACTTTGTCCAGGGCTATAACCAAAGAGCTAGGATGCTCCAGGCCACTTCCCTGAATTTTCAAGACTTAAAAAAAATAAGTCTCTAGTCTCTTTTGTTTGTGGAGCTAGGAGAAATAGCGTTCAGACAGGATTCTCCACAGACCTCCTCACAGGTTTCTCATAGATTAAACAGGATGCTGCACTAGATGGGCCTTTGGCCTGATCCAGTAGAGCTCTTCTTGGCTACCCTTGACAACTAGCCATGGTGGTTATGTTCTCTTTCCACGGTGGGAAGCAGTATTCCTCTGAATACCAGTTCTATATCCTATATCATACAATTATTTTATTGTAATAAAGAATTCTGTATTTTTGACACAAAAACTCTCTTTTTGGCTGGATTCACATCATCATCCAGATTACCACAAAGAGGAAACTTGAGAGTTTTGTAGGAATGACTTTTGGCAGGGGCATGTGAGCAACTTATCTGTGGAGAAAAACATTTGATGGGCAATTATCAATGGTTACTAGCTATGTTAGCGGTGCTCAACTTCTGCTGGAGGCAGAATGCCTCTGAAGACTAGTTGATAGGAATCGCAAGTGGGGAGAGTGCTGTTGTGATTCATATTCTGCTTCGTGTTGACATCTGGTTTGACACTGGACGCTGGACTAGATGGATCCAGAAAAGCTTTTCTAATGATTACGAAGAAATAAGTTTCTTAACAATATATTCAGTGTCTAAGGCCCTCTTTTTGTCCCTGGCTTGTAACACATAAAAGAAACATGGCAAAAATTCTACCATGAACCACTCCCTTTGTCAATATTAGTTCATTGTCTCATCAATAGCATAAATCTCTTCAACTAGGATGAAGTTGTAGGAGTGTTGTTTGTTTGCATCTATAGAATGGACAATACAGCATAGATGGTGGAGGTCTTCCTTTTGGTTTTGTACCAAAGGGTCGAAAGACAAAACAGCCTCTTCTCAGAATTTATGGAAGATCAAACTAGCAAGCATTTGTTTTCAGACCCGATTTAAAATTATGGGATATGGTAAGTGAAACCTTATGGAGATAAAAAATCATTGGTTTAGTATAACTCTTTTAAGAAATAGATTCATTGAAAAAATAATTCTACATTGGTCCCAGTGGACATAAATCCCTTTCACTGCATCTGCATATGGAATATCTGAATAAGATCCAATAAGCTTATAAATTTTGGGACTGTCTCATTGTTTTCATAATTTTATGTGCATTATTTTTCACATCCTAAAGCTGTCCAAGTATAGAAAAACACAGGACTTCAATAACAGTTACCAGCATGATTTGCTTTTATTACCTTTCCGTTCAAGACCCTTGTTTCCCCTTGTAGCATGTCAAATTGCCCCCAAAACCATATTATACAGCAGAGAAATGTCGTTCACACTTCACTGGCTATTGATTTACTTTATTTATTGGCACAAAATCAGCCTGAGATAAACATTTTGTCCCCCATTTCCACTATTGTAAGCGCTACAGTTCACTGTGAGATAGGTAGGCCCAAATGTGCTGGGATCACAATTCGACATGGCTTTCTAATCAATGTGTGAAAAATTACCTAATGAATAATGGGTTGCACATTTCCACAAACAAATTAACCAGGGTGAGACTGAAACTAATGATTATATTTATCTAATGTAATTTCACATCTGTTACTAGTGGTAGTAATTCCCCCCCCCCCCTTCTACTGTTCTCAGAATTAGGAGTAAATTTTTGTGATATGGCTTCAATATGAGCTTTTAACTAGGACATGTGCCACTTTTGTTTCATACTTCATTTATTTTTAATACAATTTTAACCTGAGGAAATGGTATAATGCTATGTTAGATCCTGGTATATTACAAAAGCTCCTGTGATGTAAAGTAGCTTCATTTGCAGGATTTTTAACATACATCTTGATTTCTTCTCAACAATAGTGTCACTTTAATTATTTGAATTCTGCTTGATAGAGAGGTATACAGTGGTACTTCGGGTTACATACGCTTCAGGTTACATGCACTTCAGGTTACAGACTCCGCTAACCCAGAACTATTACCTTGGGTTAAAAACTTTGCTTCAGGATGAGAACAGAAATCGTGCAGCAGCGGCGCAGCGGCAGTGGGAGGCCCCATTAGCTAAAGTGGTGCTTCAGGTTAAGAACAGTTTTAGGTTAAGAACAGACCTGCGGAACGAATTAAGTACTTAACCCGAGGTACCACTGTAATTCAAAAGTCTATACACACTCACAACAAGCATAATTCATAGAATCAGACAATGTTGCCTTATACTACTGATCTATCTTGCCCAGTATTTTCCACTCTGACTGGCAACATCTGTCCATGTCTCAAGCCCAGCTCCTTCCCAGCACCTTCTGAGCTGTGCTTACATCGAAGTGTTATCATGTAAATTGCAAAACTGATTTTTAAAATCTCCTACCATTCCAGTTGGTGCCATTGTCAGACTGCCAAATATTTTTATTAATGCTAAGCATGAGGAATAACTTTCTGATGGTAAGAGCTGTTTGACAGTGGAATGGACTACCTCAGAAAGTGGTGGACCGTCATTGGAGTTTTCTAAACAGTGGCTGGATGGCCATCTGTCAGAGATTCTTTAGCTGTGATTCCTGAATTTCAGGGGGTTAGATTAGATAACCCTTGGAATCCCTACCACCTCTACCGTTCTATTATTCTAAAACACATTTTAGACTGCATTAAAAAAAAAACACCTGTGGATGCAATTGTGCAGTAACAGCAAAATTTAAAAGCGCTTTAGCACAAATAGAACAATGGATTAAAAATGATTTGCATGATCAGTTTTAAAATGACAACAGTAGCAGACCTTGGGGTCTCAGATTTCAGTGGCACCCTGTGCAATGCCAAAATTCACCTCCCCCCGCCTCTCACTTTCCATTCTACATCACAGCTGCTGTGTCCTCAAGACTCTGCCCCCATTGTGCCTGAACCAGTCAAGTTCCCTGAAAATGTTCTCTACCCCAGCCAGGAAACAATAATGATTTTAAAAAGCCATTCTGCCCACAAGTTTACTGCGAAGCAGCATGGGAAGAAATCAAAGGGAAGCAGTTTTCACACACCAAGTAATGCATGACTTAGCTCTTACTTTCAAGTAAATGTGTTCAGAATTATTGTATATTGTATATATGGGTGGTATTCAGCTGTTTTACTCAGAGTAGGACCAGTGCAATTAACATGACTAAATTTAAGTCCATTAATTTCAGTAGGTCTAGTCTGAGTTTTTGGTCATCACTGCCTCTATGGTTTAACTATGCATTGTGTGAAGAAGTACTTTATCTGTCCTGAATCTCCCAACATTTAGCTTCATTGGTTGTCCACAAATTCTAGTCTTACAAGAGAGGGAGAAAAACTTTTCTCTATCCACTTTCTCCATGCCATGCAAAACTATAAACTTCTATCATGTCAACAAAGGTCCATATAGTAAAAGCTATGGTTTTCCCAGTGGTGATGTATGGAAGTGAGAGCTGGACCATAAAGAAGGCTGATCACCGAAGAATGGATGCTTTTGAATTATGGTGCTGGAGGAGACTCTTGAGAGTCCCATGGACTGCAAGAAGATCAAACCTATCCATTCTGAAGGGAATCAGCCCTGAGTGCTCACTGGAAGGACAGATCCTGAAGCTGAGGCTCCAATACTTTGGCCACCTCATGAGAAGAGAAGACTCCCTGGAAAAGACCCTGATGTTGGGAAAGGAGAAGGGGACGACAGAGGACGAGATGGTTGGACAGTGTTCTTGAAGCTACCAGCATGAGTTTAAGCAAACTGCGGGAGGCAGTGGAAGACAGGAGTGCCTGGCGTGCTCTGATCCATGGGGTCAAAAAGAGTCGGACACGACTAAATGACTAAACAACAACAACATCATGTCACCTCTTAATCAGCTTTTCTCTAAAC